CATACATATGCACGTACATATGTATGCACCAGTAAGTATAAGATATATTTTAACCGAAGCTTTCGCTTTCAAAATCTTTTATTTTTGCTTTTTTGTTGTTTCAGACACTGCACTGTGCCAAAAAGCGCAACCATAAATGCATACATAAGTAAATACAAAGAAATGAATGAGAATGTGGAATACAGTGCCTCAAAAAAATTCACATATTTGAACCTATATTTCAGACGTTGAATTTGAATCTTTTAGTGACTATTTATTTCATACTCGTACTCAATCTTTTTTTCAGCTTTATCATTGATTTTTATTTTACGTATACAAATATGTGTATTTCTTTAATTTCCGCAATCCGCTTTAACTACATACATCGATTACACTCGCGAGCCACTGTATTTTACGTTCATCCAACACAACAAAATTGAAACACTAATAATAACAATAGCAGTTTTATGTCTATGTGGCAATAATTTTCGGGCAATGTTCCAACTGCAAATTAGACATAGACGAGACAAGGAAATTTTACTGCATAAGTATCAACATAAATACATACATACATACATATATACGTACGTATCTAACCCATAAAAATTTGCCCACAAAAATATTTTAAAGCCGCCTAAACATGCAAATTTGTTGCATTGCAAGTGAAGCACTTTGTGTGCGAATGCAATTTTTTATTTTGAGTGAAATGTAGGGAAATATGTCAAAATAATAAAGGCATTTTGAACAATGTACGGAAACAAGTATGTATGGATGTAAGTATGGTTTGGCGTCGAAAGTGAGACTATTTAAGAAATACATACAGTGGTGGTGCTATTCGTTGGGAAACAAAATATGTTTTCCTCTAAAATGTATTACTTAATTAGACATTAAAAAAAATACCCAATTTAAGAAATCGTAAAAGTAAAATAGTTACATACTATGTCCCAAGGCATATGAAAGAACCTTAGAGCAAAGACAAGATTTAAGTGTATTTTTTTGTTGCTTCTTCAAAAAAATGTTCTGCTTATTTCAATACAAGAAAAAAATTGGTCCGACTTTCTTTCTTGTTAAATTTTTTTTACATCCAGCAGCATGGATGCATACTTTGCAAAAGCGTTCCATAACGTTCCATAAGATAGCTGATCTGCTGATATAATCTGTTCAATATGCTTTTTGTGTCCATACTTTCAGGCGGCCACCTAGTCTCGAATGCAAAACACAGTCGTACCAAAAAAGTGTAAAGTTCTTTTGACGGGAGTGCCCTATCCAGTGATATACCACTTTTTTTTGCCAAAATTGCATTTCTACCACATCTACAACCGTAAGCTTAGATTTTTCACTAGTGGTAACCAGTGTGTAAAAGATTTTTTTTCTACCGCAGTTTGTTGTCAAATTATACGAGTTTAAACATGCAAATTTTAGCCCTTTTTCATAGTCACAAGTTTTCTTAAAATTCTTATCTCATGTCACACTTATGATAAAGAATCAAAAATTGCTGGCCTATTATGTAGAACTTGTTCCGTGCTTT